TGTTTATACGGTTGTGGTATATGTACATAACAACTTATATAATAATTTACCAACAGATGATGTGACGGAATTTTAATTAAATCAAAATTTCATCAATCAAATAACTTTCTTATTTATATTTTGACATCTCATCATCAAGTAAAACATTATGTAAGTTATGTACAAAAAACATTTTCCTTGTTTTTATATGATATGGAAGAAGTACCCTCTACCTATGTTCGTCTAAACTAGATTGAAGTTCAAGTATCATTCCGTCGTTGACTAACTATTCACAACCAATCTTTATTCTAAATTTAACTTCAAATTACATTAATATAATAATCAAATGGTACTTAAAGATTGAAATTAACATTAGATTATTCTAAATTGAACTAGCATAATTGACGCGTGAAGACATTTTGAAAGAATTGATAGGATTGAAATTAACTTTCACTTTTCTTTTAACTTCTTTTCATGCGTGTTAACAAATGAATTATCCAATTTTAATTAGTATTTCTCTTGAATAAAACTAGCCAATTTACATCCCCAAATTTCTATATTTCTATGTAAATTTATACACATATAAACGCATTAATTAACAATGAAGATTACATAACCTACAACAGTATCGCTCAATCTCTTATCAAAATCTATGTCACTTGTTGCAAGCGCTAGACAAATATACAACCTCTTGTATCCATATCGTCCATAAATTTATCGATTGATGGTTAAACAATTGAATTAAATTAAAAGAATAAGCAATTAGCACATCATAAAATTGACACGAAGTCTTTGAATTAATTTAGCATTAAATAGTTGGCTGCTTATAATTGCATGAAAATACAAATGAAAGATTGAGAACATTATCGAGTTCAATTACAATGAATAAAGATTAAAGAAATTGGAGTTGTTATTGCTCTTTGCCTAACGAATTTCAACAACATTTCATCATCTCTTTCTTTGATAATTGAAGATCTCCCGAAAAAACTATGGTATTCGACGTTCAAATCCCAAATTCTAGTCACAAATCTTGATATTAATCTATGACTGCAAATATGTTCTTTACCTCAAGAATGCGTCTCCCCATGAAAAAGAATGAGTAAATCCTATTTATAGTCCTCTAGTTAGGTTGAAAGTCATGTTCATGTCCATAATGTCAAAAAAACAAAAAAAAAATCGAAGTTTGAGTCGAATTAGAAAACTAGATTCCTACCCTAGCTAAGCATATGTGATCGCAAGCCATTCTGCAGAAGTCTTTGCGACCACAACTCAATAGACCCTAGTGATTGCAAGGGTCGACTCTTTGCAGGTTTACAATTTACTCTTCGATTCCATTTCTTATTCAACTCAAGTTCTTTAATATTGCATTATAGGCACTTCTACTTTCAAACTCAATGTAGTGTTCCCCCAACTCAAGAATTCATCTAACTTCAATCCTTTTCGATCAAAACTTGTTCCTTTTCATCCTTTGTCATCCAAAATCGAATTATCTCCTAAATCATAAAAAATGCACAAAAATATATCTAAATATTAAAAGAACTCCCAAATGTGTACTTTTGATGGCACAGATAAGTATACAAATCACACTTATCAGTATCTAAGAGAATCTCACACTTGTTAAAATAAACATGAAAGGATGTACACAAATTTTGCCCCTATTTGAGACTTATTTTTTTCAAAACTCATTTTTTCAAAATTCACTTTCAACCACATATTT